ATCGAGAACGGTATCTCTCGCGTCATCGAGAAACTGTCGAGATTCGAATTCAACACTACACCAGTCAGTACACGATTATTGAAAGCTGTTTCGATCTCCAACCACGAAAACCCCCTCTTTTGCTATTCGATATGGCCAGACCCCACATGTTCAAAACGTTATCGTAAAGCATTTCTCAAACCTTCCAATCGTGCTAGTCGAGCGATCGATGCATTTACAACTCCGCTAGATATTTGTCGACGTTTACTGTTTCGACGTCTCCCGCAAGAAGTCGAGACACTCGTCGTATTTTTGCTCCCATACTCGATACACATCCGCCGTATCGATGCTCGTCGCACGATGAAAAAGATTCTCCACCTCCTCATCCATTTCTTTCTTTATTAAAAAAATTACTGCCCTCGCTTACACGTAACCAGAGCGTTTCATCACAACTATCCAAAGGTATGTCGAATTTAATTTTTTCATAAATTCTTCCAATATCACCGATTTTTCGCATACCTTTCACAGCTGCATTCTCATACTTTCTTGCGCGACCGTCAACAATAACTATTGCGCTTTTCACCCACAAAATCTTTCGCGAACATCGATTTCCAATTTCTCTCCGTAAATGATATGTAGCTAAATTCCAACAAGTCTTCTCCTTTATATAGGATGTAACCAATGTAGGACTCGGTAACAGACGCTCGTGACAATACAGATCGTACCTTCGTTCGAACTGTTATCGCTATCGCTTGACATATTAAGCAAAATGTGAGAAGAACCTTACCCCGTATACATTTATATATTGTTCCATCATCGGAAACATTACAAACCACAACCCCTCATCTCCCATCTTATCTTTTGTAAAGAAGAATACGTGTATTAAAAATAAAAGATATGCACAAAAGAGACATCAAAAATATGACGCATCTTATCATAATCAAAGGATGTGATATCTTCACACACATACATACATATATACATACATAGAACAGGATATGTGTAACGGAAAGAAACCAATATTCAAGTTTTTCTTTTAATTTTAATAATATGTATATGATAATAAGCACATACATCGAGTATATAAAATATGTGTTACTTGCTTTGAAATCGCGTCCACTGATTAAATAGTTTCAACACATTCTCTAACGCACAACATTTAACGTGTTGTCCATACCGAAACGTATTGGTAGCATCTAGATTTTCAAAAGATTCAATGTCGTCGTAATCCACACCAATCGTTTCGACTATAACATCATCATTGTTCAAAATGTCAAGCGACCACACCCGTTTCTCAAGTCCCTTTACACGATAGCCTTACTCTCTCCAATGACAGCTTCTGAAATCAGACGCTACGCCGTATGGTATAGTACCATTCCATCGTTCCACTGTAATCCATGATGACGTGCCATTAACCATGAAGCATGCGACTGGTCAGTTTTCGTCAAGAAACGCCATGGCATCGGGCACGTAAAGATGTAATGTTAGCATACTCCCATTTTTTAAGATTGTAAATACTGATTAGTATACAACAATTTGTTTGCCACAAGTCATAAATGAATTGCGTAGAACAAAATCGTCGCATCATCTTTCATCATGACAACGCCAGCTGTCACACAGCATGTCAAACCGTTGATTTGTTATCCAATAATAATGTCGAATTGATGACTTATTGTTCGTATTCACCTGATGAACCGAAAATTGGTTCGAGCGTATGCAAAAATGTATCGATCTTAAAGGCGAATACTTCGAAAAACAATAAAGCCATTTACTGAATTTTACATGTTTTTTTTCATATTATATTATTTGCAGAAACTTTTTCAGCAGCCTACATATTATATGTTTACTAATTGAACGTTTTATTATATGCATGTGTTATAAATATGTTTTATTTACTTCCAAATTGTATTATGTTATAATTTATACATTGTAATACTTTTATGTAAAATATTTCTTTAATATGTCTATTATTGTTTTTAACAAATTGAAGGACTCTTCTTATATAAAATAAATAACAATGAATAAAGGGCAAAGTAAGAATCAGCACATTTCATTTTTAAAAAATAGTCATCTAATTAAAAGAATAAAATACAAATCAAGAAAAATAAAATCGAAGAACGTATATAATCAAAATAAAAAATACATAAAAAATAAAAGATAAAAAATAAATAAAAATTCAGTAACAAGTTTTGGTTACTGGATTGATTAAATTTATTTTTTGGACATATACATATATATATATATATTGTATATAAATTTTCTTTTATATCAACTCAAAACATTTTCGTAGCATATATTTACAATTATTTAATATTTGAATATTTCTCTATATAAATATGTTTTAAAGGCAATTTAATATTTTTTCCTAGTATTTTTCTACATTTTCTCTTTATTTTTCAATATATTTACAATTTATTTTTATTAATTTTTATTAAGTTCAGATTATTTCATTGTAATAGTAGGTTTATTCGCGTGATTTATTGCATGCTCTAATACGCTCCTATAACAGCTATTATTCACTCGCATTTGTTGGAGTGCGACGCGAATAAATCTAGTGAGTTTGGACAGAACGAAAAAAGGATGAAAAGAGAAAAAAGTTTAGGTGGTAATCATGGCAACGCTAGGTAACTTACTTATTTCACGCATGCGCATTCCATTTTGGCCAACACTGAAAGGTGCCGACAGGAAGTTGCGCTACTGTATGTACTGTGGTATCGTGAAAGTGAAGAGGATATATACACAGTGGCATATGCAAGCAGGAGTATAAAGGGTGCAGAGTTAAATTACATGATGACAGAATTGGAGTGTTTGGCCATAATGTGGGCACTCAAAAAGTGGCATACAATGTTACTGAGGAGACATGTGCGGATGCATACAAATCATAAAACGCTAAAATTTTTGGAAACGTGTGTCGGCAATAACACCAGGATAGCTGATTCACTTTCTAACAAGAGTTTAAGCTTGAGATACATCATAGGGATGTACGAATAGTCAAGTGGATGCATAATCAAGACTAGGGACGGATACACCTAGCGGGACTAAGCAAACATTAAGGATAACTCTGATACAGGATGTAGCGGATGACATCGATACGGGGACTTAAATACCGATAATACAGCAGGCCCAAGAACAGGATGTTCAATTGATAGAAACAGCAAGGGTTTACCCTGAGCAAATCTATGGGTATGGGAATAAGTTTCCGTCCTTGTAACAGAGGTGTCGCTGCTGATACTATTTTTGTGTTCGCTCTAGTTATATACTGGTGATTTGAAGATGTATATGTGAGGTCTCGATCACAGTAGTTGACATTCGTTTGAAGCGTAAAGATCTTTTTTTATCTGACGTCAAAAATGTCTACGTTCGTCCCGAAAAAACAGCATTTGCGGGAAGTCATGCTTCATTATTACCTTTTAAAGAAAAGTGCAGCTGAAACGTGTCGTATATTGAGCAATATTTACGGTAATCACGCTCCATCAAATACAACTTGTAAAGAGTGGTTTCGACGATTTCAAAGTGACAATTTCGACGTGAGTGATAAAGATCGCGAAGGGGCACCGAAAAAATTCGAAGATACTCAACTACAAGGGTCGTTCGAAAAGTCCGTGCAAAGTCACTGCTGACACTACTGGCGCGTATCAAGGTTAGATTTAGTTAGTAGCATCTCTTGGAGGAACACACACCAAGTTACAGCCAGATCGGTCTATTTGTTTGTGTTTGGCATTCATTTGAATCGAGGAAGTCGAGGG